TACTCTGTCTATTATGATTCGACCACTACCGCGCAATATGAGCAACTCATGCTCCATCCCGTTATGATGTGCGCCTGGCGAAGCCAGGCCAGCTCGGCGAAGCCGAGCTAAAAAGAAGGAGGAGAGCTCGGCGTCAGCCGGGCGATCCGACTGGTATAATATATTCCAGGAAGCGATGAAGGAGGCGCGTCCAGATGCACATGGCCCACTGGGGATCGAAGCAAATGTAGTCGATAATTACGTTCGATCATTGGCTGGGTAGGTTATCGTGATTATTTTGAATTCAATGAATTATTCTAGTCGAGTTATAGCTGTGAGGTTTTCCCTGATGACATTCAATTACTAAGATGTACCCCTCCCTATAAACTTTTTTTCAGTTACTGTGTGATGTGCTACGTTCTGGGCGTTGGTGATCGACATTTGGACAATTTATTGTTATGTGAAAACGGCCGGATTTTCCACGTTGACTTTGGATTTATACTTGGACGAGATCCAAAGCCATTACCACCACCAATGAAGCTCACCAATGAGATGCTGCAAGCTATGGGTGGCATCAAGAGGTAACCTAGTTCTCAAAAAAAGTGAACTATTCAGTACACTCACAGATCCAGCTCTCGATAAACCTCTGCTTTGTATTAGTAGCTGAACATTTAATCCTTCAAAACTCGACTTGAGGTCATGTACACCAGGCTGCTAAGGTTTCTGCAGAATTGCCTTCTTGCCAGATGGGAATCGAGTCATGATTTGGACGATCAATTGTCATACAGCCCTACAAGACCTTCAAGACCAACTAATCCACCACATAATAAGAGTTGGTAGTGCCATCATCGCTCACAACTTGGTCTTGGGACCCTTTCCATAATAGTACAGAGCGAGATGAAAGCAGTACTGGTATATACCGATGCACCATGTCGCGACGCGGCTCCCCGCCTGCGGTGGTTCCTATGGGGAGGTGCGCGCCGTGTTGGGTCCCATGGCGTCCAAGGGGGGTCTCGCCTAGTATTGATCCATGCCACGCGGCAACGCGTGCGGTCCTCATCCCCTTAACCTGAATGCCCTTTTGCGCCCGTTTGTGGTTCCCCAAGATTTGGGCTTCTGCGGTCCCGCTAGTCCCATATTTTGAAGCATGATAACACGTCTACTCTCATATGAATCAATTACGGACATCCTAACGGGGCAATCGATTAGTTGGTAAAGGGCTATCAGCCATATGCGAGAAACTACACATCAAATACCAATGAATGCACGTGAAGAAAAAGGGAAAACAAAATGCGGAAGGTTATTTATCATTAATCAAACATCAA